AAGCTAGGAGCTGGTTCACAACCAGAGTGAGGAATCACTGATGACCAGTCTCATTCCTCCAGTGGAATCCATGCTGGGTGGACCTCGGAGGTGAATTCATGAGGACGTCATGGGAAAGAGTCATTCGGGATGGGTAGGCATGAATGAGTTGTATTTCTATTATTGGAAGAAATACATAATGATGAAATCACAGATCATGCTGTATTGTGTAATCAGGTACTTGGGACCATTTGACTTTTCCATTTTCTTATGCAGTGAAAATTTTGAAACTAAATTTTCAGCTATATTTTGCTTATTTGTATTTGTTATCTCCAGGGCTTAACATAATTCCCAGCACTTAGTAAGCATTTAATAAATGCTTTCCTTTTCCATTCCTTCCATTTTCAACTCTGAGACCTGCTTTTTATTCACTGTTCTACACTGCTTCTGTTGGTGAAATTTTGGAAGGAATATCTTAAATCTGCTACTAGAAGTGTGCTGATAAATTGGATGAGGAAGAAGAAAAGAGTTGTAACTTGACTGTAGTCTTTGTTTGGGGGGTTTATAGATAGCAGAGAGTTAAAAATAAATATAGCCTTACTTTTCACTAATTAAAATAACAGGCATTGGTAAAACTTTTTAACATAAGTCATTCTGAGAATCTTGGCCTTGCTACCTACATCTACTTTTACTTTTGGTGACATCTTCCTCACTTGAAATTTTTCAGCCTTTGCTGGGAGGAAATTGGTACAAAGTCAATATTTGGGGCCCTACAATTGTTACATTTCAAATATTGCACTTTTCTGGGGAAGTAAGTTGCCCTTATTATGGGTGAAACTTTTTAAATTTGAAAGATTGCTTTATAGGACAAAACATTTCAATCACGACTGAAAATCAATACCAAAAGATATTTTAGAAAATTGTAAAATTAATTTCATAGCAGACCTGTGTGAAGTCTTATATATGATGTCAGTATCTGCCTGTTAGTAATGAGCAATAGTCAGCTTTTGATTATCCCCTCTAGTGAATGGAAGGGAAAGAAGAGAGGAGGTAATTCCAAATGATAAATACTTATAAATTATAGAGACAACATGGTGTAATGAATAAAACCCTGACTCAGAAGCAGGATGCTTTGGTTAGAATCATGCTTCATATACTATCTACTAGGGCCTATAGGCAAGTTACTTATATTGACAGCCTCAGTTTTATCAATGGGGATAATAAAACTTATACTGCTTACCTCACAGAAGGGTTGAAAGGAAAATGCTTTTCAACCCTTAAAGGGACATGCGAATATGGATCATTTAAAAATTTCATCACTATTTGGTTTTGTAATGCTTTGTGCTAACATTTAAGAGACAGGGAGAGAGAGAGAGAGAGAGAGGGAGAGAGAGAGAGAGGGAGAGAGAGCGAGAGAGAGAGTGTGTGTGTGTGTGTGTGTGTGTGTGTGTGTACGTGTATGTATTTTCATTAAGTTGAGAGAATTCACTTGAAAGAAATATATGGAGCCTTGTGATGAAATCCCAATTTAGGAAGAGCTGGAAAACTTTATTCCCCCTTAGCCCATTTGACTGTGCTCTCTCACTCAGTTCATTTTTAACACTAACTTAAGCAGTATGGTATATGGTGTATCCGCTGTACTATAGTGGATAGAGAGCTGTCTTGGAAGCAAAGAAGACCTGGATTCAAGTGCTTCCCTTGGTATATACTGGTGCTGTGACCCTAGGCAAATCAGAGAATGTGCCCACTACATTGATTGAGGAAGTTTCCTTATCTAGAAATTCCCTATATTATTGAAATTACAGATTCATTTTTTATCTATAAATGAAGCAAAATAAGCTCCTGTGATTTCAAACATTTGACCTACCATACAAAGGTAGTAAATACTTCAATACTGTAATTTACTAGTAGTAAGGAGGTGGAGCTGGTTGGGAAAGAGGGTTAGAGTATTCCTTGTTCCCCATTGCAGTTTTCAGACTCTTCTACCACCAACACTGAGAAATCTATCCTCCTTTGAAGTTCATTCAATCCATATTTATCACCCAGTCAAGATTCTGGTTGCTATTGTCTACCAATCTCTAGGGACACTCTTCTTCCTCAGTGGATTCAGTACCTGACTTTCAGTCTTTCTTTCCTCCTCAACTCTTGCTTTCATACTAGGGGCCTTCAGCGTATCTATTGATAATATTCTAACCTCTCAATTCCCCAGCTGTCTTGTTTCCCACTACCTAGTCCACTGCACCTCAGCTACACAGACACAACTTTGATTTTGCTATTACTGACAAGTGGTCTGTATCCATGTTCATGAACCCTGAAATTCCTTTACCTGATCATAATCTGTTGTCACCTCTCTCTTTGCCTTAGAACCCAAACCCTGTTTTTCATCCTCACTGTTACCTTCATTTCCTCAGCCCCTCATTTCTTTCCTAGGTCATCATCCCTACAGTGGCTCCACTCTCTTCACTTTCCCATTTGGACACCTTGATAACCTTTACACTACCCTCAGCCTTGCAATATTCCCACCATCTTTTGCCATCACTTTTGTTCACATTCTGCTTGAATAAACATGGAGAAAATCATGAAACTTATTTATGTAACATAATCTCAACTGGGGCCTCATTGGACAAGGCAATCATTTTACACCTCCCTAATTCACCCACTCTACCATTCATCAGTATGGCTTTTCCACACCTTTTCATCCCACCTTAAACCTATGGGTCTTCTTCCCCTCATCCTCATAGCTGAGAAGCTTGTCTCATTTCACTGAAAAAACTGAGGCCATTTGCCAGGAGCTCCCCCCTCTCATTTCACATCATTCAGATGCTTTCTACCACTTTCAGTTTCACCCAGTCTCACAAGATACTGTCCTTCTTGCCAAGGCTAACCTTTCTACATGCTAAATGGTCCCATTCCATCTCCTCTTTTCCAGCAGATTGTCCCTGTTATCATCTCCACTCCCACTAATCTTCAGTTTTTCCTGCTCATTGGCTGCTTCCTTGCTGCCTGCAAACACTCCCATGTCTCTTCCATCCTCAAAAAAACTCAATTGATCTATCCATTCATGTTGGCTCCCAGGGATTGGATGCAATTATCATCTCTATGTAGATGATAATCAGATGTATTTATTCAACCCTAACCTCTAATCTTATTTCTACAACTGCCTTTTAGACACCTTGAATTGGATGTCCTGTAGACATTTTAAAGATAATATGTCAAAAACTGAACTCATTTCCACCCCCACCCCCTCCCTCCCCTTTCCTAAAATCCCTATTACTGTCAAGGGTACCATTACCTCCCAGTCACTCAGGCTTCTAATCCAGAGGTCATCCTTGACTCCTCACTCCCCATATCTGGTCAGTTGTAGTTTCTACCTTCTTAAAATCTCTTGTATCCCCTTCTCTTGTGATACTGCCATCACCCCGGTGCAAATTCTCATCACCTCATGCCTGGACTATTGTAATAGCTTGCTTGCTGATCTCCCTGCTTCAAATCTCTCCCCACTCTACTCCATTACCTACTCAGCTGTCAGACTGATTTTCCTAAATCATGTCTGACCATATCAGCATCACCACTCTGTCAGCCTCTATTCAGTCAACTAAAGTGGCCCTGCATCACCTCTGGAATCAAATATACAATCCTCTGATTGGCTCTTCACAATCTGGCCTCTTTCTTCCTTTCTAGTATTCTTATAACTTACTACCTCTTATGTACTCCCAGATCCAGTGGCACTGTCCTCCTTGGTGTTCCTGTCACATTATGCTCCATCTTCTGACTCCCGAGTATTTTTTGCTGTTGCCTGCCCCATCCTTCCCCCCACCCCCCCATCATCTCTACCTTCTAGCTTTTCTGGCTTCCTTCAGGTCTCGGCTCACCATGCACAAGAAGCTTTTTCCACCCCTTAATTGTAGCCCTTGTTCTTTGAATTTATCTACAGCATCTTGTTTATACATGGTTGTTGGCATATTGTCTTTCCTGTTAGACTTTGAGCTCCTTGAGGGTGGGTCTACTTTTTGACCCTTCTTTGTGTACTTTCTCAGTGCCTGGCAGTAGTAGGAGCTTAATAAATGCTTGTTGATTGACCCAACAAAATCCTAAGGTTTTTGAGATAATTCAGTATCAGTATTTAGGTAAATGACAGAAGTTATGAAGGGAAGCTGATCTTTCCATTTTAAATTCAGTACAGTATACATTTATTAATTGCCTATTGTATACCAGGCATGGTGCTTTTGTGTTAGTCCCTGTTCTCAAGGAGCTTTTATCCTGAGACTACATGTATATAAATTAGCAGATTGTGATAGAGGTAAGGAAAAGTTTTCATTTGAATTAAAAGTGTGTTGGAGGGAGACTTACATGGTATGATTTTTCCCTCTCACTCACCTGCATGTTTTTCCCTTCAACATGTAGATGTTTAGGGATGGACAACTGTGTTGATAAATCCATTGGTAGCCACGTAATGAACATCAAAAGAGCTTGGAGACGTTTCCCAGCACATTGGGTAAATTTCCTTGTGGTGGATTTGTGAGAGGCCAGTAAGGAGAACCACAGAGGACAGGCAAATATGTATTTTATGTAACCTGCATTGTTTAAAAAAAAATAGCCATATTTATGACTGCACACATAATTAAGAATATTGTATTATTGAGCTGGAGAAGAAGTGGACTTCTTTGTTGTAACCGGTTCATTATGCAAACAAAAGAACCTGAATTTATTTTCATTTAATAAAGGACTGATTTTAGGCCTGTTCAGGCCCTACATTGGCTGTCTTCTTTTTGTTGGGTGAGTTTTTAAAAAATAAAATGTGCACACCTTTAAATCAGAAAGATTTAAATCTCATTTGTTGCTGGAGGCATATAAAATAATAACTTTGATTCTTCTATCTTAATGACTCTTACATTGATTTTGGGTTTTTTTAATCATAATTTTGTCATAATAATTTTTATAGCAATTGCCATGTATTCTCCTAAAAGTGCTATATAGTATGTGAAGTCTAAAACATATTTTTGTATTGTGCTTCTCTACAGGTTTCCAAAATGTAGCATGAGATTCCAGTCTGTCTGCTAGGTAAATATAGATAATTAAATAAACTTTGAACATTTCAAGGTTTATTCTTCTTTTAATTGAATGCCTGTAAATGGATTAAACATACTTTTGGGGGAGGTGGGAAAGACGAAGGAAGCGCCTACCTCTCTGATTAAAGTGTAATCAGAAAAAATATGTATTTCTGGTTCTATATATTTAAGGACTTGAAACATGACAATATATGCTCCAGTTTTGCTTAACAGATTAAAGGAAAGTCATATTGCTTGTCTTTTGGATTCTACTCTAAATAAGTATTTACCAAACTGTGCTCTACAAGGTGTGAATAAAGGTTCTGCAGGAGGGTGGGGGGCAGAAATCAAGTGCAAATATCATTTCCCCCTCAATATTAAGTGTGGCATCATGCACATGCCAAAAATGGTGATTATGTATGACCGTTTTTTTTTTTTGTATGAAAATAGGTCTAATTTCCTGTTTTATTTCAAAATTTCCCTTTTGTCTTGGGATGTTTCATAACCCCTGTAGGTTATGACCCTCTTGACTTGAATTCATGAATTCCTTTTCTTACTCATCAAGCTTGGAAGTATATCACTTGTTCAGGTTAGTTGTAGACATGCTACTTTAGCTTGGTCTTCTCTGAACATTGGAGATAGAGTACACTAATACTATAGCGCTAAGTAATGGTTGTGGTAAATGTTTTTGTGCTGTAGAAAGTTAAAACTTTAGAATTGTGGTGATAATACGTTAAACCTTAAATGATTTGAGATAAAATAATGGGTAAATGTCTTTGTTAGAAAATGGAAAATAAACAAGGGACAGAGGAAAGGAGCAAGGGTGAAGAGCCAGAATACAAACTAAGACAGACTAACCGGGATAACAGAGTAAAGCCAGTAGCGTAAAACCCCAATGAGAAGACAAACTGAAGACAAAGAAAACATCTAGAAGAGGTAAAAAACAAAACCACCTGCAAGGATAATGGGGAAAAACAAGAAAGCAGAAATGTTTGTCTTGTTCCTCTAGTCGGGGGTGAAGGGAGCAAGTTGTTTTGTGTTTTGGAGGGAGGTGAGAAGGGTCGTACAGTATTTTCATATGATTTTTTTGTTTTTATTCTCCATTAGTCCTGCACCCCTTGTTTCCACTTTACCTCTCTCTCCCTCTGTTGTCTTTTTTTTTTTCTCCCTTCCAAGTGTGTGACATAGTGAGAATTAGGCAGCCAGGTGGCATCACAGTGCACTGAGCATTAGACCTGGAGTTAGGAAGACCTGAATTCAAATCCAGCCTCAGATACTTACTAGCTATTGTAGTCCTGGGCTAGTCACTGAACCTCTGTCTGCTTTAGCTTTCTTCTTCATTATTTGTGAAATGGGGATAATAACAGTCCCTTTCTCCCAGAGAAGTAAGATTAAAATGAGATGATATTTGTGAAGTACTTTGCAAACCTTAAAGCAGTTTGTCCAACTCAGGTGCCACCCTTTCTGTGAATATTTCTTGATCCCTCCAATGGAAAATGACCTGTCCTTCCTAAAATTTCTTACAAGTGTACCACTCATCACATCCTACTTTCTCTTATATTTATTTGTGTTTTGTTTTATCCCATTATGAGAGTGTAATGTCCCTGCAGCTAGGAACTGTGTTTCATTTTATTTGGCGGGGGCAGTGTTGGAGTAGAAGTATTGTACTCGGGGAAACAAAAAGTATTGTACTTGGGAAACAAATCCTCACGTGAGCATGTGATCTTAGTTAAGTCTCTCAACTACGTGAAAACTCAGTTTCCCAGTTTTTCAAATGGAGATATTCAAACTTGCACTACCCGATTTTCAGAGTTCATAAACTGTAAGGTACTTTATACATGTGAGTTGTTGTCATCATCATTGTTCTCATTTTTTAGTGGCATTAACAGCAGTGGTCCTGGGACAGGCAAATCATTCTATGATTTTTAATAATTAATGTTCTTCAAATTATTGCATAAGTAAATTAACTGAATTTTGTAATTGAATAAAAGTATTGGGGTGCAAGGTTGTTTTCTGTAAGCTCATTGAGCACATCTTTGGCACAATTGCAATAACGGACATTTGTACCTTGTTCTTCCTTCCGCCCAGTCTCTCAAATGTTTTTTTGTTTCTTCTGTCTTGAGAATTATGAGCATTTGGTGTGATAACATTTGTTAAAAACATTGTTCTTAAATTTTTATGGATCAGTGTTATATCAGGGAAACTGTAGACAGTAGTTCCTTCAAATGGTCTAGTTTCAGTACAGTTTACTTGTTGAATCCTCAAGAATATTTTGAAGTCTCTTTTTGTATAGATATTTGTGTACTGTTAACTTTCTGAAAGATAGTGAACTTCTGATGTTTACTTCTAGCTCTGTTGAGTCATTTCTTGCTAGGTATTCATTCTATAGGTGTTAAGTTTTTGCAGCCTACAATGATAGTTGTAGTTTGTACCATTTCTTTTGCATAATCTGCAGTTTAGATCTTTGAGGTTAAGCCTTTTATAAATTCCTATGGTCACAACCTGATCCTCAGTGACCATTATGAACCTTTGGTTTTATGTACAAATCCACATGACAGTAATTTGTTGGATGCTCCTTCAGCAACATAGAGTTGGTTGAGTTCACATGGATGTCAATTTTTGATTCCGCTCTCTCAGAGTTTCACATATTCAATAAATCCAATAGTATGTCCCATTTGGTGTTCTTATTGTTTAATTCAAAAGTGATATCTGCCTATTCCAGAGATTTTTCTCTAAGTTTTAAACTGTTTATCCTATGCTGTGATAATGTCTATTAATTCTCTTTCATGGTTAGTTAGTATTAATCTTTTCATAGCTTTCTTAGGGTGAGAGGACATTTCATTAATATTTCATGATTTTTATTTGGCTACTTTCTAGATCTGTTGTGAACTAGTTCATAGTTCCAAAAGTGTATATGTCAGGACTAGTATTATGTAGGTATATATTGCTTTACATGTGTTCTTCCCACACTTTAATTTCAGAGTGTCAATAGGTCTTGACATACACAGGCAGAGCTTTCTCCTTGATAGCTTTATGATGGATATGCCTTGACTGGAAGAGCCCAGGGTATTTGTAAGTTTACCTTTGTCCATCGTTTCAGTTTGACCTGGATTCTAGGTTAAGTCTTCAGTATTACCTCATACTTTGCCAACAGTATTGAGGCTATTCTCTCAAAGTCTGTCTTCTCCCTCATCCTCCTCTCTCAGAACTCTCACCACCTCTCTACTATTTCCTCTTTTAATGCAGTCTCTGGGTAGCCAGCCCTTCTTTGTGTAACCTCATTTCTACCTTATCCTGTCTTTTCAGTTTAATTTTTTCTGACTATCACTCTCTATCTTGATCTAGTGGTTCCTTCCACGCTGCCTATTATGTAGATACTCAATTGTTTACAAAAAAACCCCCCAAATCCTCCATAGATACCATCAGTAGATGTGCCTCAATAGATAATCCATCAGTAGATGCTAATACTGTCTCTGCTTGTTGTTGTCCTCCAGCTCTCCTCCTTTACCACATACCTGGAAAAGCCATCCACACTTCCTGCTTGCTCCACTTCCCTCTCTCTTAAACCCTCTGCAGTCTGGCTTCTGATCTTATCTTTCAGTTGAAGTTCCCACCAAAGTTAGCAGTGAGTTCTTCATTGGCCTCTTCTTGATCCTCATCCATCTCGACAACTCTGCAGCAGTTGACACCATTTATCAGCCCTTTCTCCTGGTTACTCTTTCTGCTCTGGGTTTTCATACCACTGTTTTGTCTGCTGTTTCTCTTCCTGCTTGTCTGACTGCTTCATTTCAGTCTACTTTGCTGGCTTGTCATTACTATCACTCCCACTAACTGGGCGTATGTATCCCCAAACTCTGTCCTGGATTATCTCCCTTTTCCCTCCTCCTCATCTATATTTACTGAGAAGATAGAGCAAGAACAGAAATACAGAAGCACCAGGGGCACGCTTTCCCCTCTACCACCTCAGTCTGTGGGGATAGTGTGCTCAGAATTGAAGCAGCTGCTACGAAGCATTTCCCCCACCTAGCTCACTTCCCAGTGCAGCCTAACTACTGGATGAGATGCTCCCTTTAGGCAGTTCAACTGCTGGGTTCATTCACTGCTATGTTGGATCAGGCAGGTCGCTCCTTGGGGATACACTGGCCAGCTCTGTTATGGATTCTACTTCCTGGAACCTTGGTGGCTCTTTTGACCTTTTGAAGCTCAGAAGGCCATGGTGCAAGATCAGGACAGAATAGACAGTAGGGACAGCAGCAGCAGCAGCAGCAGCAGCACAGCTTTGCAATCACAGCCTGGCTAGGCAGATAAAAGCCTCTCTGCCCACACAGGCTTAGACCATGTCATCTTCCTTCCTTACACTCAGTCAGGGGGAGACTGCCCTCTTCTTTTTTCTTTCTTCACTATCTCATTTGATGATCTAATCAACACCTGTAGGTTCAATGATCATTTCTCCACAGACAATACCTACATCTCTCTAGTCAGCCTTAATCTCTCTTCTCAACAATAGTTCCACATCACCATCTGCCTGTTGGACATTTGGAATTGGACATACGTGATTGACATGTTCAAAACTGAACTTATTTTTCTCTCCACCCTTACCCTTCTTTCTAACTTTCCTGTTACTGTCCAGGGCACCACGATCCTTCTAGTCACACAGGTTCACATCTTCAGCTTCTTCCTTTCACTTGGGCAGCTGTTGGTACAGTAGATAACACTGCTTTTGGAGTCAGGAAGACTTGAGTTCAAATCCTGCTTCAGACTGTTACTAGCTATGTGACTCTGGGCAAGTTAGTTAATCTCAACTCTAAAATGGGGGCAATAATAACACCCACCTCCTATTGTTGTGAGGATTGAATGAAATAATATTTGTAAAGTGCTTAGTTACAGTGTGGCTGGCACATAGAGGCGCTATGTAAATGCTTATTCCTTTCCCTTTTCCTTCCTCAGACCTCATTCTTGCTCACTGCACACTTCTACACTTCTGCAAAATGTTTTTTCTCCTTTCACTGCATTTCTCCTAGATATTCCCTTTCCTCTATTCACATGACTACCATCTTTTTCAGGCCCTTATCAGCTCTCATCTAGACTATTTCATACCCTACTGACCAGTCTCCATATCTCAGGTTTCTCCTCATTAATCTACTCAGTTGCCAAGATGATTTTTCAGAAATGTAAGTCTGACTATGCTATCACCTTGCTCAGTGAGCTCCAGTGGCTGCCTGTTAGCTTTACAGGCAAATATAAAGTCCTGTTGGGTATGTAAAACCCTTCCCAGACTTATTACTCATTATTCCCCTTCATGCATTCTACAGTCCACTCATACTGATCCTCACCTTTCCCATCTTCATGCCTTTTCACTGGCTGTCCCACATGTCTGGAATTCACTTCCTCCTTACTGCTGCCTTATAGAATTATTGTACTTTTTGGTTTTTTGTTCCCCCCAAACTCAGTGCAAATGCCACCTTCTACATGGAGTCTTACCGTAATCAACTCTTCCCCTGGGTGCCTTTGATTTCCCTTCCCAAACTACCTTGCATTTATTTGTATATTTTCTGTATATACAAAGGGGACAGCAAAGGAGAAGATGGGTAGATAGTATCATGGAAACAAGGAACATGAACTTGGACAGACTTTGAGAGGTAGTGGAGGATAGAAGGGCCTGGCATGCTTTGGTACAAGGGGTCACAAAGAGTTAAACACAGCCGAACATATATATACATATGTATATGTGTATTTTCCTGTTCTTTCCTCTACTGGATGGCCTCTTGAGAACATGAACTTTTTTTTTTTAATTTTATCATTATCAGCAATAAGCATAGTAGTTGACAAATAATATTTGTTTAATAAATGCTTATTTATTGATTGAATAAGAATTTTATACTTAAGAAATATAAAGCCCAAATGACATTTTGATATCATCAAAGAATGATTCCACA